ATAACATCTTAATTAAAATTAAAGTACATTGGATAAACTTAAATATTATTTATTTGTGAAAATATTTAAGATACTTAATTTATACAAGGAGTATATTATATATTTGTATACTTGAAAGATATGTGTATTTGATTTTGTTTATTTATGTTTAGTTGAAAAGGGGTACTTGAAATTTCTATATTTTTGTTATAAATTCTCAGTAAAATTATATCCTGAAGAGTGACCTTTGAAGTCACGAAACCGGTCGAAGAAATTAATAAAGGAGAGAAAAAAAGAAGAGTATAATATTCGAGTGTTTTATTATTTGTATCCTCGGGTGAAATGTATTTATAGGGGGAGAGATATATAAATGTAGAGTTTTGAGGCGGTGTTCACGTAATACTACTTCAGTCTATCGCCTGTTATTGTAAAATCAATGAGTAACTATTTTACAGTCAAAATCGTATTATTCAAATACATTGCAACGCATAAAAATAAAAACTTCGAGTATGTATGCTAGGATTATTAATCAATTAAATATAAGTTATTTAGTGTGTTTTTTTATCATAATTTAAATTTAATGTATGTTCCTGGCCGACTGTGATACTGCTCGGCTAATCTACGCAATGTTTTGTTCCTTTATTAGCACCTGTCTAAACATTTTTAAAATACTGAATTTAGAGGGTTTCACTGTAAACTTAGGATCTTAGGATTATTCTAGGTATAACAATAAAATGTATGTTGATATATTACTATATTATCATCACTTTGAGATATTTTAATAGTTTAAATAATTATCTATATTTAACGGTTTATTCGTGTAATGAGTACTTTTCAACTTTTATGTGATAGCATGCTACTGCTTCTGGCTGTTGTATGTAGCAATGATTTTAGCTTTTATGAGATGCTTTAATATTTTACCCGAGTTTGTGGTTTTGATTTTGGGTCTTTATACGATACCTCTTCTTGTATGTGTGACGAAGGTTCGCGGGTTTCACATAACGTCATGACACTTCTTTGGCTTATGTGTATAAGATATTCTCAGATTTTATATGGATTCGTGGTTATGCATGTGCGACACAATAGATTCTAATGATTTTTAGCCTAAACGAATCCTCCTAGTTGATCCATATAAGCAGTATACATTGAACTTGTTTAACATCACACCCTCAACTTGCTATGATCTGGTGGTTAAGGCGCTCAACTTGCAATCTGCGGGTCGTGGGTTCGAATCCCAGTTAGTGGACATGTTAGCCCTTTCAGCTCCCTATATGACAGTCAATCTCAATAATCGATGTTAGAAGAGTAGCACAAGAGTTGGGGGTGGGTGGTGTTGATTAGCAGCCTTCGCTTAGCCTATCACCGCTAAATTAGGAACGGCTAGCTCAGATAGCCCTCGAGTAGCTTTTCGCGAAATTCAAAACAAAGAAAAACAACACCCTATAACTTTTACAAAATAAGGTGTGATTACAATAGAACCATTGTTTATTATTTTCATCATGGGATGTGGTTCTGTGGTATTTGTTGCTTACTACATGGTATAAATGAAGTATTTGTCCCTTATCTTTATTAAAGTTGTGTTGATTAACTCTACATAAATGAATATCATTCTCGTTAATTAACGTATGAAAAAAGAAACAGATTTACTCCCTGTAAAAAAAAAAAGGAAGCTACAAATATTATGAAACTGTCTTTAATTCTAGAGAAAACCAGGTCTTCTAGATTATGTGTACGTTACTGAGAACAACAGTTTATATTTATTTTCTTTTTTTTAATGCCCAGTTATTCTACATAGCTGTTCTTTTCTTTGAGCACTTAAAACAGTTGGCGGTGGGTGGTGTTGATTAGCCGTGCGCGTCGGAATGTACAAAACATTGAAGGGGAGGCTAGTAAAAATTTCATGATAGTCAATAAAGCAGAGTTATGTTTAGAATTCTCCAAGGAACTGTAGTATCCTTTCATTTCGGCTGGCGAAGTCGACCAACAGCATAGAAAAGGACTAAACAAGAATTTATCGTCAATAAAATATTTGTTTGTCCCAGTGACATTCGGTCCACCAATTTGATTATGGGACATGTGCCTCCCCCGGTTCCGATGTCTATATTAACTGTCTTCCCTCTAGTTTATTACTTTAATCTTGAAGACGGTTAGCACGGATAACCCTCGAGTAGCTTTGCGCAAAATTCTATGAAATAACTCAGTATGGACAATTTCTGAAGATTTTTAAACTCATTACATATCCTGGCAGATACCAATGAATTTCACAGTTATAAGAAAAAAAACTATTATTTTCAGACCATTGTGACGGATTTACTACTATAAATATATTTTAATATTGATGTTTGTTTAAATTAAATTTATATTTAGAAATGTACATAACTTATATTGTTAAATCTGTATTGCGAAATTCCCGCCTAGTCTCTAAAGTTGTAGAAGATTCTTGAGTGTAAGAATCAACAATATATGTGTGTACGTAAACGCTAGTGTAGCGTTTGTATTCTTACGTAATTTGAAGTTTCGAGAAACTCTCCTTACGCCTGTAAATATAACCAACGCGGTGCGCTTAAAAACAGTATCTATTATTGGTTTGCTTTAGTTGGTATACTATAAACTTTAGAAGCTATAACTGTGGTTGCTATAAATATTATTAATCTGGAAACATCAGATATTTAACCAGGAACACTTATAAATTTCAAACATTACAAACCATTTAATTTTAGTGGATTCAGATCGGACATTAGTACTTTTACTAAAACATTACCTAACTTCACCGGTGTGTGATCAGTGAAGACCACAGAGCAAGCTAGCTCCCTATTACGTGAATTGTACCAACGTCAACTCGAAATTAACTCGCTCATCATGAACTCTCGATAAGATACCAAGGAAGTTCCAGACTAGAAAGAAGACTTTATATTGCTTGTAAGTTTATAAAACTTTTTTGTTTGTAACAACCGTTTATAATAACTGTTATTGTAAATTGTATTATTGGTTATATATTGAAATATATTTGTATTAAAAAAGAAAACTATGTGTATCAATCTTGTTGGCAAATATCATAAATTGGATACATATCGGCATTTTTTTAACTTCTAAATCTAAATTACAATTTAACTCAATTTCAGGCTATTTGAAATTGTAATACGTAACACACTTATTACATCATGTTATTCATATCTTTTAAAATACTAACAAGTAACGAAAAGTTTGGTAATTTTGTATTTACATTCTTTAACACACGAAACCAACAACTACAACAAGATTCAATAAATTCCTCATTTTAGAAACAACAAAACAAGTTGAAATTTCATCCGATAAAAATTTGGTACCTTTATATTTACTATTTTATTTAATAGCAACATCATGTCATTCTGTCATATATATATATTCCTTTATATACAGTTTTGATAAATTATATATTTTTTTGCAATAATCTCGCAAGTTATTATTTCTTTCTGTTTTGTTTATTGAATTTTCGCGCAAAGCTACACGAGGACTATCAGCGTTAGCCATTTCTGGTTTTGAAATTAATAGACTAGAAGGAAGGCAATTAGACAACATCATCCATCGCCAACTCTTGGACTATTTTTTTAATAGAGATATTGATCGTCACATTACAACACTCCTTACGGCTGAAAGGACGAGCATGTTTGACGACTGTTTTTGATCCCGCGGCCCACAGATTGAGAGATATTATTTTTGTAATATATAAATATTTGTTTAATGTTTTTGTAATTATATGTTGAGATAGACCGATAGGCGTCGTCATATAATCAATCCATAATTGATGCATTTTTGATTGGTCTAGACTCTAGACAACAAGTATTTTATTATTTATAGTCGTTCCTTGAATAATAATTTTATAGTAACTATTATATACATATGCTTATAAAACGGCCCGGCATGGCTAGGTGGATAAGGCG